AATCGGTGTTGACTAAAAATAAAACAAAAATTTTTTTTGTTGTGGTTGTTGTTGTTATTTAAATCGTTAAAACAAACAACAATCGGGGTCGAAGTAAAAAAAAAAAATTATATATATATATATATATATATATATATATATATATATATATATATATATATATATATATGTATTTTTTTTTTTCGTTGTTTCTCCGAATAAAAATCGGTCGGTCATTAGTCGAAGCAGATGGGACAAGTGACACGTCACGTTTAAATCAATTTTTCCTCCTCCTTCGTGGCTAAAGAATATTTATTTTGTTTCTTTTCCCATTTTGAATACTGCTTATTACCGAATGATTTTATGACGTCATTGACATTTATTTATTTTTTTTAACGTATAAAATGTTTGTTGTTGTTGTTGTTGTTGTCGTCGTCGTCGTCACTCTCACGTTCTTTCTTCCACGTTTTTTTTTTTCTTTTTAAATTTATAATTAATATCAAATTCGTGATTTAAACAAATTTTTTTTTTTTTTTTTTAAATGAAAAAAAAAAAATTCCCTCCTTTTTCGTATTTGTTATAAATATATATTGATTCGAGTAAGTCGAGTGTGAATCTCTAAGGATTGACCTTACGTAAAAAAGGTTTTTAACTTTACGTTGTCTTGTCGGTTGTGACCTTATTTTTGGAAAAAAAGGTTTACGGGGATGTTATCAAGGGAAATGATAATAATAATAATAAGTACTTACCTGTCGATGGATATTGCCATGAGTGTGAAAACGCTCGCGCAAATCGTTATGACGGCAACGAATGGATTTATCTTACAATATAAATATCCGAAAGGCCAATCGGAATTCAACATGTACGTGTAATTAAATGTAACGTTAAGAGTCGACACCATCGTGTCAGCAATCGATAAATTAACGAGAAAATAATTCGTGACCGTTCTCATTCTTTTATTCGTTAAAACGATGTAAATAATTATCAAGTTTCCGCCCGTGGAAACGATTATCATTACGGCGAAGAGTATCGACCATATCAATTGTCGCCACCATGGAAGTATGAATTTATCCCAAACTTCATCGTCCGTTCCGTTGAATGCGGCGGAATGATTTTTATCGAATGTTTCGTTCGATAATTTTTCGAGATAACCGTCGAATATGGGATCGGACGTGAGATTCCAAACGTTTGCAAAAGATGAGGAAGATGATGATGATGATGACACGTCGAAAAGAAGAGTACGATGCAACGATCCAAGTGTCATGTTGTTTTTTTTCCGATGTGATTATGTTTCAACGATGGAAATGTCGTCGTATTTGAAAAAATTCATTTCGTCTTGTATTCAGAAACTGAAATTCAAACATTTAACGGATTTTTTTATAAGAAAAAAAAAAAGCGTGGGAATAAAATTTTATTGACGGTTACAAAAAAAATGAATTTTTTCGACTCGAAAAAATTATCAAAAGAATTTTTTTTTTTTTTTTCCCTTCAATTCGAAGGATTGATCGAATGACGTTGTATATACATTTAAAAAGAATTTAAATCATGGTTGAATTTTACGTAAAACGTGTCAAAAGAAAAAGAAAAAAAAAACTAAATTTTTTTTAAAATATATATTCGACATTGACATTCGGATAAAGGTCGACATTAATTTTCTTCTGCTTTTTTTTTTTTTAATTAAAAAAATTTCTGGAGCGTGTGATTATTATAAAAAAACGTATCCATTAATATTATTATTATTATTATTATTATTATTATTATTATTATTATTATTATTATTATTATTATTATTATTATTATTAATATCATCCTAGTAATTATCATCATCGTATTAATCATTATCATCGTGTTTTTAGAATTGGAAAGCGGGAAATAAGATAAGATATATTTATACATATATAAAAGATTAATTTTAAATACTTGTTAGTAGCGCAAAGATAGAAATAAAAATTTTTCTCATTATTATTATTATTATTATTATTATTATTATTATTATTATTATTATCATTATCATTATTATTATTTTAATCCGTTCGATAGAGATTTGAAATAAAAAAAAAAGGCGCGAAAAAGTTTACACGCGTTTATTTCGTTATACAAATGATAAAAAAAAAAAATTATAATAATGATAAAATGTTTTATGTCACGTGATTGTATTACCGGAAATGAAAAAGTGGAAAAAAAAAAAAAATTTCCCCCGAAACGTAAAGTAAAATTTGTGCCACGACATTTTTAACGGTTTTTTTTTTTTTTTAATGTTGTTGTTGTTGTTTGATTTTACTTTTGTAAATCTACTGGAAAATTCAATTATTTGTGTTTGTTTTTATTTTTTTTGATGAGTTTGCTCTCGGGATGGTTGGCTGAACAGAAAAATGATTAAAATGTCTTCTTTGTCTGTCTGTCTGGATGGATGTAAAAAAAAAAAAAAACAAAACAAAAAAAAAAATTTTTTTTTTAAAATTATTTTACGTAATGCATAAAGAATCTAATTGAAACGGGAAAAGAAAATATTTAAGTCGATACAGAAAACAATTAAAAAAAAAAAAGAGAGAGAGATAAAAGACAAGAAGAAGAAAAGCAGAAAGAAAGAGAGAAAATATAAAGAATGTAAAAAGTAGAAAGAAAGGTTAAGAAAGTTATACAGAGAGAAGGAAGCAAGACAAAGAATTTAACAGACATAGGAGAAGAGAAAGAAAGAGAGACGGAGAGAGAGAGAGGAAAAACAAAGGCAGAGAGAACGAGAGTGAGTGACAAAGAAAGAAAAGAAGACAGTGAGTAAAGAGAGAGAGAGAGAGAGAGAGAGAGAGAGATAAAGGTTACGACATTTTTGCAGTCGTGTAAATGCGGATATTAAAAACCAATAAAAACAGAAGAAAAAGAGAAAAAAAATTTTTTTTTTGTAATTTAAAATTAAATTAAAAAAAAAAAAAACACGACGACGACAAAGAATAATAATAATAATAATAATAATAATGATAATAATAATATTTTTAGTTTTTGTTGTACAAAACCCGGAGGCTACGTCTGGAAAAATATGTGAATGTGTGTGTGTGTGTGTGAGAGAGAGAGAGAGACGACGTAATCATTTCCGTTTGAAATTAAAAAAAAAAAAAAAAGAAAAAAATTCCGTCTTCTTTTGTCAAATGGAAAAAGATTTTCTCTCTCTCTCTCTCTCTCTCTCTCTGTCTCTCTCATACAACTTGAGACTCTTGACATAATTTAATTTCATTCAAAAGTAAAGAAAAGAAATTTTTTTTTTCTTTTTTTACCGGAAAATTATTTTATATACGTATGTGAAAAGTTATCCAAAAGGAAAAAGTTTATGCAAAATGCCGAAATGAAAATCATGTCAACGTCATCAAATGAAAAGAAAATTTTTGAAAAGGATTAAAAGGCAACAAGTTGATAAAGTTTGGAAAATGAAAAAAAAAAAGAAAAAAACTTTCCGACAACCTAGTGTAAACTATTGAAAAAATTATTTAATATGGCGGCCGTCGACAAAAGATTATGAAAAAAAAAAAAAAAAAAATGAAATTTTTATTTGAATTTTCACAAAAAAAAAAAAAAAAAATGAAGAAACTTATTATTATTATTATTATTCTAATCGGAAAATTTTCGAGAATATTACTTTCAGCCGAGTAAGTAATAATCGCGAAATCATATTTATAATAATAATGATAATAATAATAATAAATTTAAGCTTTTGTTTTACGTTTAACGACCGTTAGTTATTACATGAAGACAAAAAAGGAAAATTTAAAATGGAGATGACTGGAGAAATTAAAAAAAAAAAAATTGTTGATGGAAAAATTCAGTACGATTATATACGATTGATCTTTTATTATTATTATTATTAAATTTTTTGTTTAAAGTTTTATAAAATAATTTAAAAGACTTAGATTAAAGACTGGATTAAAAAGAGATGAAAAGAGGGGAAGAATAAGAAAAAGAATGAGAGAGAAAGAAAGAGAAAGAAATGGATAATAAAATATTGAGGGACGGAGTGATTAGGAAAGTAAAAATAAGAATAAAAAAAAAACTAAGTAAATGAGAGAGAAGATAGATAATGGGAGGAAGAGGAGGAAGGAAAAGAATGAGAGAGAGAGAGAGAGAAAGAAAATTAAAATTAAAAAGGTTATGAGAGGTACAAAGTAAAATTGAGCAGAAAAAAAATCGCAAAAATTTACGCGAAGACAATAAAAAAAAAGAGAGAAGCAAAGAAAGAGAGAGAGAGAGAGAAAGAAAGAAAGAAGGGCATTAAAATAAATAAATAAAAAATTATAAGAGAGAAAGAGATTGAGAAAAAGTTTTGAAGAGGAAGAGAGAAAGAAGAAAAAAAAATAAAAAGAAAGGAAGAGAAAGGTAAAGAGAGAGAGAAAAAAAGAAAAAAAGGAAAGAAGACAGAGAAAAAAATTGAGAGAAAGAGGCAGAGACAAAGAGAGAAAGAAAATAAAAATGGAAAACAGAGAGAAAGAGAGAGAGAAAAAAATAAAAAGGAAGAACGATAGAGAGAGAGAGAGTGAGAAGAAAGTGATAAAAAGAAAGACAGATAGAGAAAGACAGACAGAGAGAGAGAGAGAGTAAGTGAATGACGAAAAAAGGTTCTTGATAGAATTTAAAAGGAAAAAATAAATCACTTTTCAATCTTGTGTTTGTGTCGTTTTTGAAAAAAAAAAAAAAAATTTTCGAGTTGATTTTTATTTTTGTTATTTATCGTGAGGACGCGACCCGACCGGAAATCGATTTGTTTATTTATGTTTTCTTAAAGTGTTCTTTTTCCGACTGAAAATTCCCCCCGCGCCGCCTTTATTTATTAAAAAATTATTCATTATTATCATTATTTTTCTTAAAAATATCCTGGATTTTCTCCAAAAAAAAAAAAAAAAAAATCCGTTCGCGAAAACGAATTTTCCGTCGTCGGTCTAAGAAATTTTTTTAATTTTAAACGGGAAATAAAATTTTGAATCGATCGCATTTCCGCCATTTTTATTTTTAACGGTTTTTTTTCTTTTTACGTGGTCTCGTAATTAATATTTAAATTAACCTTTTAACCTTTTAGAAACCTTCGTTTGAGGTAACATAAATTTAAAATCAAATAAATATTTTTTTTTTTTTTTAATATTCTGGAACTTTCCTGTTGGCCGAAAATTTTCTTTTGCGGTTACAAAAAAAAAAAGGGAAGGAGCAAATAATATTTTTTCTTTAAAAAGAAAATTCTAGAAATTTTCCTTCGTCTGAAAATGATGTTTCATTTAATGAAGTGTATAATTTATTATCAAAATGGTTGGAGTAGTTGTAGTAGTAGTGTCTGTTGACACGATCGATTTGAAAAAAAATTTTTTTAATAAATTCCGGAATCGATTTTTTTTTTTTTTTGAAATCTCGGCCGTTTTGTTTTAGACTTTGACGCGTGAAAAGTTTTTTCAGTAATCGTTCTAGAGGTTTTTCCGGGAATGAATTCTGGATAAAAGGAATCAATCTCTCCCTTTTTTTACCGATCTTACTCTTCCATTTTTCACGATACCTGAAATTATTTCACATGTTTTAACTCTTCTCACTTTGTACATTTTTTTATTTTTTATTTTTTTTTGAATATCGAACAACCGGAAATTCATTGTTAAATCGTTTTGCGATTCGTCGATTCGATACTCGTATTTTACGTTAGTCGTGAATGAAAATTTCTCTTTAAATTTTTTTTTTTTTTTTTACTTCTTAGTTTTCCGACGACTCCATTTTATGTTCCTTTTATCACCGACGGAATCATTTTCTCCTTTGAGACATTTTTTATATTTTTTTTGTTTTTCCTTTGAACTTTAAACTTTCCTTTTTGCTTTGTAAAATATTCATTCATTATTATTATTAATCTATTTCCTTTTTCTCTGCATTCGTCATATCGAAATTTATTTCTTATTCATAATATTTATATTTTATCATTATTATTATTTTGATTTCTGAACACGTCTAGGTTTCATTTACTTGTCGGAATAGTTTTTCAGATTTCACTCCAACCAGGTCTTTACTCGATTCCTAAGGAATATTTTTTTTCTCAAAAATATATAATCGCGTTAGGGTTAATATAATAAACGCGGTTGTAAAAATGGCGTCTCAAAATGCGATCTCGGATTAGTAAAAAAACAATTTTTTCGGTTTTTACGCGGGAATCAAGGGTTAAATTAACGCTGTAAAAACAACAACTGCAACAACAACAACAACAACGATTATATTTTTTTTTTCCCGTGAAAACCGCGTTGAATTTAACGTCAC